ATGTTACGCAGTATGTGGTTCCCGGGACCTGATCACTCTCATGACGCACACTTCGGTCCGGTGGTAGGGCCAATGGCGGGACTTTGGAGACAACGCCTAGAAATTCCTTTATAAAGGGTAATACGGATAGGCGGGATTTAAAAGATCCTTCAGGATTGATGAACCACTTCGTGCGTTCAGCACCCTCTAAGTGCCCTCCAAGACAGCTTCATTGAGAAGCGACGACGCGTTAATCTCCTCATCCGGTCTTATAATCACCACCTCGGCTATATTGCCTGCTTTCAAGGCACCGCCAAACTCCACGACGGACATCTCGTTCAGCTCAAGAAGAGCATCCACCGCGGTGATATCCTTGAGGGTGCCGTCGCCGTCTTCTTCTCCCGTCATACAATTGACTAGTTTATGTAGCTGTGCGATACACCCTGGGTCAGGGTTGAGGCCCTGCGTCTCGCAGATAACATACGGCATCGCTGTCTTCTCTCTACAAAGGTTTTACGTCTCGTCAAGACAAGTGGGAACACGCACTCGGCGTTGTCTAGGGTCCCCACTCCCTGCTCCATCGGACCCTTGATGTTATTAAACCATTTGATGAAGAGCTGCTATTTACGCGTCCTTCGTCCAGGATAACTTGACACTTCACGCGCATCCCAAGGGCCTTGCCCAGGATGCCTCGAAATTCGTTTGACCATGCTTGGCATGCAGCAACGGCTTCAAAACTTGAGCAGTGCTCAGTAAATTACGTGCCACTCCACGTGCATCGCAAGGGCCTCGCCTTGATGCCTCGAACTTCGTCCGACCATGCCACTCTTGGCATGCAAAGACAGCTTTGCTATTTGAGCAGTACTCAGTAGGATACGTGCCGATCCACGTTCAGCCCGCGAGCTATGCTTGGGACTCTTGTTCAATACACTGAGCACAAAGTAAGAATGGACATCATACCACACTATCAAAGTCAAGAAACTTGACACAGCGGCTCACAGGGACCCTCGGCACAATGCCACAAGTCCCCGTCGATAAGCGAAC